ACGAAGGTTTTGCATCACTAAGGCTAATTATATATGAAAAAAAAGTTTCACTTTAAGCATTCTTTGAAAATAAGAGCACTGTTATGAGATATAAAAAATATATTTAATTTATAGCATTGTAATTTTTGGTATCATTTTAGATTACTACTTGAGCTCTTATATATGTTAAAATTAGCACTTAATAACACTTTTGTTATTTATTTTACATGAAAATATACTTAACAAATTGCTTATCTTGTAAAAAAATTTTTGGAAGTGCTATTCAAATTATTCCAAAGTTTTAATTGATAAAATCTATCAATAAAGTTTAAAATGAATAAACAATGCAATAAAGACCATTTACAGTAGGAAGTAACAAAATTTAAAATGAAGACTGAGTGTGGTAAATCTCAAAGTATGGAGAAGTATCACTTAACTCCTAGAAAAAGTATCACTTTCTAACTCTTTAGAAAATGAATCATCCCTCTCATCTGCATTAGTAAATGGTTCATTAACCATACAAGGGTATTCTTTCTCTGATAAACAACACCTTTCCGCCATAATAGAATGGAGGTGAGGCTTACCGAAATAAAAAGAGAAGAAACGGAAATATATCTGAAGGCAATGCAAAACAGAACAATTGGATATAAATCAGACACGTGAATGTTTATATTAGCACGCAGCGATTTAAAGAGCCCACCTCTATTTACGCTTTCCTTCCCCCCTTGCAACAGTTGATGAGTAAAATACCAAAGTCAAGCAGAGTATATCAAACTCAGGTCAGGAACCTAAAGCTTAGGTCAGGAACCTAAAGCTGTGTTCATTTCAAAAGTAATGGGCATAAGATGCCATTTGGTGGCCTTCAGAAAAACATTCCAGCTTAAAATGCGCATACGCACCACCTGGCCTTTGAATGCAATCTCTAGCGATGCGTGGATGGGACGCCCGGCTGTAAGAGACATTCTTAGGGAATGCATAAATGGGACGATCATCCTGAAAAGGTTAAACAGTTATGAAAAAATAATAAAACAAACCTAGATTTTCAAACTGGAAAAATGACTACAATTGACTAAGCGAACAAATGATGATTCACAGGTGATGGATCCAGGACAATCTACTAGCACTAAGAAAAAAGTGTTTATAGAAAATATAATGGAAGTTATTTATCATTTGGGTTTACTTGGAATGAAGATGAAATGGATCTCGATCTCTTTGTGTGGTTTGCAGTGAACTATTATCCAATCAAAGTATGAAACTATCGATTCTTAAAAGACATCCTGAATCTAAGCATGCTCATTTATAGGATAAATCTGAAGAACATTTTAAGAGGAAATAATCAGAGTTCAAGAATTGTAAACAAGTAATCAAAGGTTTTGTTAATTCAAGTGAAAAAGCTTTGGAAGCTAGTTACCTAATAAGCCTAAGAATTACCAAGACTGAGGAGACTCACACTATTGGAGAAAACCTTATATTACCAGCAGCTAAAGATACCTTTTTGACATTATTAAATGAATAAGGGGCTAATGAACTTACTAATAAGCCATTATCAAATGATATAGTAAATCGATGAATTCATGAAATGGCAAATTCCATAAAAGAGACGCTCGTTCAAAAAATAAAACACAGTGAATATTTCGCATTGCAGTTGGATGAAAGTACTAATACAACGAATTTTGTTCAATTATTATTAGTTTATATACGCTTCAAAGAAGATAAACAGATTGCCAAAAGGTATTTATTTTGTGAATCTCTTCATGATAAAGCAACTGCAAAGGAAATTTTCAAAATAATTGGCAATTTTATGTCTGAGAATGATATTCTTTGGAATAAGTGCACTGCCTTATTTCTCAGATAAAGAATGTCGCACCTGATACTAAATTTACTCACTGTTCAATTCATCATGAAGCCAAAACAATTTCCGGAAACCTGAAAATTGTTTTGAATCAAGCTGTGAGAATTGTTAAGTTTATGAAAAGCCGAGCTTTAAATTCAAGAATATTTACAATTTTATGCCAAGAGATACGCAGAGAACATGAAATGCTTTTGTTACATTTCGAAGTAAGGTGGTTATCCAGAGGCAAAGTTTTAAATTGTCTTTCTGAACTTCAATCAGAAATCAAATTTTCCTCTGTGATTCAAAATTTGAATTGAAAGAATTCTTATTTAGTGAATTATGGTTGGAGCATTTAAGTTATTTAGCTGATATTTTCGGTGTTTAGCATATTTAGCTGATATTTTTTATTATTTGATATTAAATATATATCTAAATTTAATTAATTTAACTTGAAATGTACATATCAGCTAAATATATGTTAACAATATTTAGCTGATATATACATTTCAAGTTAAATGAATTAAATTTAGGATTACAAGGACAAAGTAGTAATTTGTTTACCATTAAAGTGAAATAAATGCAACGATAAAAAACTCAATCTAATAATCAAAGAGTTGGATAATAATATTTTAAACTTTTTATCAATTTTAGAAGATTTTGTATCTGAAAATAATTTGAAAATAAAAGAAGAGTTCGCATCTAATATTAAAAATGATTGTTGTTCATTGATCAATAATTTCAAGATGTATTTTCCTGTGGATTATGAAAAAGAAAATTGGATTAGAAATCCATTTTGCTCAATCCATTACCTGAAATTTAATCTCTTGAAGAAAAAGAACAATTAATAGAAATTTCCTATGATAGAATTCTAACTGAAGATTTAAAAAATAACACACTTTTTACTGAACCGAAAAATAAGAATTTCAAGGCATGTCAATTAAAACTAGTAAAATTTCTAGCCTTTTTATGCAACCTATTTGTGTGAACAGGGATTCTCTTCCATGTTGTATTTGAAAAATAAATTCAGGACAAAATTTAAAGAGAGTCCTAATTTAAGGTTAAAACTAAGTGAAATAAGATCCAATATAAAGAAATTGATATCTCTTAAACAGACCCAAATTTGACACTAAATTTTAGAATTAAATATTAAAGTATTATAATTTGAATTTTGATAATTAAAATGGTAACCAAGTTTTAATCTAATATTTTTCATGTGTGCATACTTAATACAAATAGCCAGTAGGTTGTGCAAATTGCAAAATATATATTTTTAAATATTCTATTGAGGAATTGAAAAATAATGATTGTAAAATGTATTGGTGGTACTAAAGGTTTTAAATTTTTGTTTAGATGGTACTTGTTAGTCAAAAGATTGAGAACCGCTGCTCTACACAATTGCAGGCTGGTGTAATTGTATCAGATAAGTATTCATGTCTTGTATGGAAAAAGAAGTGTAAACATACAGGTGGCACAAATGTATCATTGAAATAGATGACAGTCTATAAATCCTAAAGATAGCCAAACAAAATATTTTTCACCAATTCACAAATTCTCCAATAAGCTGCCAACTCAGGGGATAATCAAAAAGTAGCAAAAATTGCTTGGTGTGCATTGACTGTACCTCGAAAAATCTTTGTTTTTTATTTAATTAATTTCAAAACACAGAATTTTTTTTTTTCAAAAATATTACATACAGCTGAAGATGAAAAATCTCTCAATTCATGAAATTGCTTTTAGCTGAAATTCAGCTTGAAATTCAACAATGAAATTTGTAGTTAACAGGATTACAAAAGATTCAGATTAAAATTTGGATTCCATAGCAAATGATGTTAATGCACAGAGAAATATTGGCCTTGGAAGATATTCTTGCTACTTGATTAGGAATATTCTTACCTAAATGGCTGGATGCTTTGCTAGTTAAGCATTTGTTGGGAATGGTCAAACCCATAAGCATTTAGCCATCTTATAACTGAGAAGGTTCCCCACGATGCACTATGGGGGGGGAGGTTAACTATGCCAACAAGAAAGAAGTCTTAATTAAGAAAGAAGTTATTTTGATGGAGAATCCTGAGGATGAACCTGAAGGTTTTTCACTCCTTTTTCCCTACCATAATCTTCCATAAGGAATTTGGCTCACTGGCATTTTGAGCACTTCTATGCTATAAAGATACTATACATTTACAAATATCGATGGCTTCTCCTGGCTTTGAACTAGGGCCTAAAGCTATGGCAGCCAGTTCGCCTACCACTATGCGAACAGGGTAATTGATTAGAAAAAATTTATAATGAAGGAGACGAGGTTCAGGTAAAATGATGACATTAAATGACTCAGTATTAAAATTGTGGTGAGTTAGGAATACGTGGATGGCTTTGGTAACTATTGCTAACACTAAAAATTATGGTTTTCTAATTCAGCATTGATAAAAGCTAATATATTCTATAGCTTATCATATTCTATAGCTATATATATCATATTCTATAGCTATATATATAATATATTCTATAGCTTATGTTTGCCACTGTTATCAAATGCCAATAAACTTTTAACTGAATATTAATGCTGTACTGTTTTAATCAAACAAAATTACACTAATTAGAATTAACTTTTATAATGACTAATTACTAAACTTGTATCAATAACTGACGGTTAATTTCTACTCTTTTTAATTGAGAAAAATTTCAGCAATTGAAATTTTTTGCTTTTATTATGATTGGAATTAATAAACACATTTTCATCATATCAGAATGGCAAATTTTATATAAAGTCATAATTTTCCTAACAATTATAGTGAATAAATGACTTTAAAACAACAGAACTATGCAATAGATCAGAAAATAATTCTGTATAATTTAGAGGGAGAACATCAAGCTAGAACAGTCTAAAGTTTTAAGACTAACTATTAAAAATTTAATATAATTAATAATTTAAATATTTTTATATGCTTCCAAGATATATTTTTGGTCTTCTGCCATATTGTACAAAAATAGTTTTACAAAACATTTCATTGCAAATATTTAATTCAAATAATTAAGATAAAAATAGCCTGTTTTGCATTGCAAAAATTTAAATACATCAGAATAAAATTTTGCAGCACAACTGTAACTGATTTTAAAATTAAAAAAAAAAAAAAAAGAAGAAATTAAATGAATACACCAAACATATACTTCAAAAATCTTTTATACTCACTATTATTCCATACTGCTTGTGCAGAAGTTCATTATGAACTGTTTCTGGCCCTCTAATATCTTCATGACTTTTACGAAGAAGAGGAGGTTTAGTGTTTATATAATACTGTGGAATTTTTGGTATAATAGGCAATTTTCTTTGTTCTGGAAGTTCTATGTCTAAGATGGAAAAAAATTACAATAAAGGATATAACAGCAAAAACACAATTTAATTATCTTTCTATTTGGAAGTATATCAAAATAATGGGAAATTATTAAAAAAAATCTTAATACTGAATTTAAGTTCCCTTATTTAGAGTATCAAAACATATACATACATTCAAAAGATGAGGGGGGGCACTGTTAACAGGAGAAAATAAGACATTGTACTATAAAAAACATAGGTAAAGCATAAAAGGAAATAATTAAGACAACACTAAAATAAAGTTTTGCTTCCCTCTTTTCTTTATTCTTCAAAAATTGAAAAAGAATAAATTACCAAAAGAAATTCAAAGTTATTTAATTACGACAAAATACTCAACTCACTATTTAAAACTCATTCATTTCACAATGCTTGACGATGTCATTAATTTCAAAGTTCAGCTTCAATATGATTTTAGATCAGAAATTACTATCTAATACACAGTAGACTCGAATGCAGTTGCGCAAAAATATTCTACATGTGTTGCAGCATCAGAGTCGTAGCTAGGGTTTTCAGCGCCCAGGGACAACTGAAAATTTCACGCCCCCTACTGCTTGCCAAGGATGGAAAACATTTAATTCTAAAATGTCGTAACATCAGTTTGGCGCCCCTTGGATTCTGCGCCCGGGGACAGATGCCCCTCTTGCCCCCCTCTAGCTGTGTCCCTGTGCAGCATATTGTTTGTTTAATAATGGGCAACCCAATCAATACATCATATAATGATCCAATACTTTTTTAAAAATGAGATTGCAGGGTGTCTTATGTTAATTAACCAGTTACTGTGATTTTGATCTTTGCTATAACTTTTCCTTCCTAAATTCTCCACTCAAATGCTAATTAGTTTTGAAAGTATTTAAGCTGAGCATTCTGGATCTTAGTTTTGAGAGCTTCTAGCAAGTGCATCTGTTGTTCCTAATTTTTGCCAACATTGATTGAAAGTGATCCAGTTTTGGCATTCTCGCTAGCTGATGCTTAAAATTTGTACTCTGGTATAATACTTTGAATAAGTTTATTTCTTATGCTATTTTATATGTAGTCTTAGACTACGTATCAATGCTTGAATGGAATTGACTGCTATTGCTTAATTTAAATAGCGAGAAGTGTTAGTTTTGTCTATAGCAAAAGTTATCCCTTTATGTTCAATTTAAGTTAAAATAGAAAGGTTATTTTTAAACCTCCAGTACTTTGTGAGTATTCTGCAATGTAGTAAAAACTCACTATCTAACCTACTAGGATGTGTAGAACTTAACTTTAGTTTTCCAGTTACGAGAGTAATCTTAGATCATCATCACAAGTGACAAAATACAGTATTACTCAGCTATAGAATGCCTTCTTTATTAAAATCTCTATCTTCATCATGGGGGGGGGGGAAATTACAGCAGGATTGCAGTAAAGTTTACTCCTTTTTCAGTTCCTTGCTCGAAAGCCCCAAAGTTAGTTAGGAACTGCACTTGGAAGCACTTCCGCAAAGAACCCGGTAAATGTAAACATCACCAACTTTAGTGATAATAGTTCAAATCTGGTGACCCAGCAGATTCAACCTATTTGGTTGTTCGAAGGTTGCAACCATTTCTTACATTCATTTTGTTGAATCATTACCGTCGTTGTTTGCATTTGCCGATTTAAATTATTCTTCACTTATTTATTATTAGTTTTTTGTATTTTTACATTATTTTTTATGAACTTTTAACAATAAATTGATAGAAATATTTTTATATAATTAAGGTAGTTTGCAAAGGAAAATTTGTCAGGGGGGGGTCAATGAGAACTGGTAAAACGGCTGTTAACGTAGCGGTAACCAAGCAGAACCTTGAGGTTTCCAACCCCTAAAATACTTTGACTTCATGGGCTGCCAAAATATGCATTTTAAATAATTAATTAGGGGAAGTTCAGAATCACCCACTGCTTGGAGTGTTTTTAAGAAATGCACATACTCAGTATCCATGTACACATCGTCCTATTTTCACTTAAAACAACATCCCAGAATTGCACAAAAATGGCATTGCGCACTCACTTTATCCATGTACACATCGACCTATTTTTCACTTAAAAAGTCGGTACTTTTCCGTTTCGCCGGCGCAAATCTCGCCAAGCAGACTTTATTGGCGACAAAATACAGTATACACATAAAAAATATTTAAAAATTATGTTAGTTCTAAGAATTCTTTTTAAAAAAGAAGGCATAAACATTTTAATATCGCTTAAACTTTTATAAAAAGCCAATAAAAAGACAACAAATTTGTAAAAAGACATTAATTTAAGAATTTACTATGCTTTCATGGTTCAACATCATGATTCGCCGGTTCATATCACGTGACCCCAAGCGATCTCATGTCACGTAAACTACTCTACAAAAATCTAATGCTCTCATTAATTATCTACATTAATTTCATGTTAAATCTTAATTTGGAACACAAGTCTAAATGCAAGAAATATTTCAATTTCGTACGAATAACTTACTCAGAAATTATGTAAAACTGCAGTGCTTTACTTCGCTAATGCATTCTCATTAGAATTGATGAATTTAACCCTTGACATTACCTTTTCTATATTTTCGGCTTCGGGTAAACGCTGTGATTGCATCCTAATTGACTTAATTGCCGAAAATTGCCTTAGACATAAACTGAACTATCTGATAAAAATTCTATGTAATGATATGCCAGTATTGAAAGAAACAATCAATCTGGTAAGAAAAAGCTGTGACTTGTTTTGAAAATAAGGCGTAAAAGGCTACCAGCGAGAACATTCCGTTTGGCATCGGTTGTACCATTATTGGTGACTTTATCACTTGCGCCGGCAAAACGGAAAAGTACCAAAAAGTCAAAGAAAATTGACAAAAATCCAATTCTTCTTACTCTTGTAAAAAGCGCCAAACAAATAAGTGGGGGATTCTGCACTTTACCCAATAAAGTAATGTTTTTATTTTTATTATTGGTTATTGTCATCTAAAATAATAAGAAAAACAATATTTATAGCTTAAAACTGTAACTAGATAATATATTGTTAATGTTTTCCCAACAATAACATTTGAGAAGATTTCAGATTTCAGACACACAATTAGATGATTAATAAAAAATATTATTAATTCTCTAAAATGACAGAAGAGTTTTATGGATCTCCAAAGTCATCAAAATTAGCAAACCACTACTTGTGTAACGAATCCAAGTGCAAATGACTCTTCAAAAATAATAACATGTACAATTTTCTAATTTTTATTAACAATGCTACTAAATAGAATTTCAGTACTCTTGAAAATTATTGGTATTGTCAAATATATTATGAAAAAAACAGGCAGTTGTTTCAACATAAAATGCTTTAAGCTGTTTGCAATTTGAAAAAAAAAAAAAAAAGAAAAACTGTTTATGTAAAATGGATGTATTAAAAGTCATGCATTAATTTATTACAGGGGCATGGCTCTTACTGAACTAAGACTGTCACTGAATGATTGTTTGGAATTTGACATTTCTTGCTGTTTGAAACCTATTTCACTTATTTTAAAATTATGTAAATATGCAGTTGTGGCTCTCACTGACATAAAGTGTAGCCACCTCTGATCTATCATATAAGTCTATTGTCTATTGTACTAATTATCAGATACAATTTTGAGAATATCAACAAGCAAAACACTTAAAAATGAAAAAAAAAAAAAAAAAAAGACACTTGTAATAGAAATATTAGTATTCTATATGCATTATGGAAAGTACATGTAACGAATAATACCGTGACCAAACACTTAAAAAAAAAAAAAAAAGAAAAAGAATAGATTAAGTATTCCCTACCTCAGTACTTGAGAAAGCAATCCTGCCATACAACACATAGTTAAATTTTGATTACAGGCATTTTCGGGGAAGGTGCAGAATTACCCGCTGCTTGGCGCATTTTTAAGAATTGCAGAAACTCTGTATCCATGTACACATCGACCTATTTTCACTTAGAAAAACCCCCAGAATTGGACAAAAATGGCATTGCGCAACTCCCTTGACTTTATCCATGAACACATCGACCTATTTTCACTTAAAAAGTCAAAAAAAAAAAAAACAAGAATTCAATTCCTTTTGTAAAAAACGCCAAACAAATAAGTGAGCGATTCTGCACTTTACCCGCATTCTCTTTAGATTTGCCCTATGAGTGGTCAACATAGCTGAATACTGGTCACGTTGTCAATCTCGGCTCAAATCCTGATAAATGAGCTGGCTATGCAGGTTATTTTTTTTTTTTTTAAATCTATTCTGTTTGTCATGTGTTTTGTGAATTTTGTGACATTTTCGTGGTTTTCCTTAAGTGATGTAAATATGAGCCTATTTATCCTAGAAAATATTCACAAAAGCATGCCTATTTCATCTAGCCCTCACATACTTTGAATATTGAATTAAATATACAAACCCTTCTTATTCTAAAAATGATAAAGTAATTAAGTTCATATTACATGCAACGAAGCTTTTTAAAAGCTAGGATACTTTCTTTTAACAATTACAGAGCTAATTAATGCTGTATTTCTCAGTTATATGTGAAATAACATCTCAGTATCACTGTTTGTGACACAACATTTGTTTTACGTAAGTCTTCTCGTGCAGTCATAAGCATGAAATAAACAAAACAGATTGCATGAAAAACCTAATCCATACATTCTTAGTGACTGATATTTGACATAGTTTTTATGTCAGATTTGATTGAGTGAAATTGCCACTCAATTTCAGAAGACTTATAAAAATAATTATGGTGTGAAAATTTAAAAGTGAAATTAAGATCAAAGATAAATTGAACAGTACAATCAAAAAAGAAAGGCTGATCTTTGGAATATGGTAACAGGTAGTTTGGCGACATTTTGGAGGCGATAAAGGTTACTACCTAGGACTTTGGTAATAATGTGAGAAGTACTGAGTTCCGATTTATGCATTATTTTGTGTGAGGGAAATGAGAGATCATGAGATATGTCATGTGACATTAATGGACAAATTACAGTTCTTTAATCGGAAAA